CTTTTGTGACCTCTTCCCCACTCCCCTGGGTTGCTAGGTTTTTGCTGCTGGTCTTTTCAGCAGCAATCAGAGGTCTTAGGAGCAAGGCCTCTGCTGCTGCCATTAAATCAGGCCCAAAACCTGCCCCATAGCCAATCAGGGAGCATGGGGGTGGGTGCCACAATCTGGACGTAAAAATGATGGCCCCTGCCATGACTGGCCCACAAAAGTGAGCTGGGCCCACAATTTAAAAAGGTAAACCAGGACCTAATTATATTGTTAACCTAACTGACTCCTGAATTTTCAAAATATTTGCTCTAGTGGGTAAGGAAAGAAATCACCTGTTTTGCTCACCAGACCTTCTCCTCTTCCCATAGAAAAAAAGTTGTATGAAAAACAAACAAACAAACAAAATCAGATTTTTTTCCCATTGAGATAAAAAATATTTTTTTCCTTCAAAAGCTTTTCATAAAACATACTTGCCCTTTTTTGCACCTGTGTAGATTCATAGATAATTCATAGATGTTTGGGTCTGAAGGGACCTTAGCAGATCACCGAGTCTGACTCCCTACCCTGGGCAGGAAAGAATACTGGGGACAGATGACCCCAGCCAGGTGTATGTCTAGCTTCTTAAAGACCCCCGAAGTAGGGGAGAGCACCACCTCCCTTGGAAGCCCATTCCACATATTGGCAACCCTTACCATGAAGAAGTTCTTCCTGATGTCTAACCTAAATCTGCTCTCCATCAGTTTGTGGCTGTTGTTCCTAGTTACCACAAGGGGTGCCCTGGTAAACACAGCATCTCCTATCCTTGCTGTTCCCACCTGAATTTGTAGATGGCCACTAGATCCCCTCTCAGCCTTCTCTTGCAGAGGCTGAAGTGATCCAGGGCCCTCAATCTCTCCTCATAGGGCTTTGCCTGTAGGCCCCTAACCACATGAGTGGCCCTCCTCTGAACCCTCTCAAGGTTGCCCACATCCCTCTTGAAGTGTGGCGCCCAAAACTGGACGCAGTACAGGCAGTCCTCAACTTACAAAATTTCAACTTACAATGTTTTGCACTTAAAACGTTTATAAATTGACACCCGGTTTCAACTTTCTGACATCAGTTTCAACTTTACAATGCTTGATCCGATGTGACGCTACACCAGCGAACAAGTTTGCTGTGCCACCCATCTCCCTGGAAAACATCTGTTCAAACTTCCTTGGACACTTTCTTTAAGAAAGCAGACAAGACTCCAGAAAAACCTGCAGCCAAGACTCCTGAGAAGACTCCAGCCAAGAACCCTTCAAAAAGTCCAACCAAGAGCCCTTCAAAATGTCCAGAAAAGTCACCTCAAAGAAGTCCTTCCAAATCAATATGATTGCTATTCACAATATAAATACATTAATGTAGCTATATTACTCATCTATAATTGATTAAGTACAAAATTCTGGGATATTTTTGGTGAAAATAGGGTATCAGGCCTTGGTTCAGGAACCAATCCCTCATTTATAACATTGTTTCTTATGAGAAAATTGGTTCTGAGTTACAATGTTTCAACTTAAGATGCAGTTTTTGGAGCCAATTGTGTCGTAAGACTGAGGACTGCCTGTACTCCAACTGTGGCTTAACCAATACCACATAAAGGGGAAGTATCACCACCTTGGACCTGTTTGTCATGCACCTACCTGCTAATACATGATAAAGCGTGGTTAGCTTTATTGATCACTTCGTCACACTGACAACTCATGTTCATCTTGGAGTCAACAGTGACTCCAAGATCCCTTTCTGCTGCTGTGCTACTGAGAAGGTCCTCCCCCACCCTATAAGCATGCTGGCAATTCCTTCTTCCTAGTTGCAGCACTCTGCATTTGTCCTTATTGAACTGCATCCTATTCTGTTTCACCCACTTTTCCAACCTGACCAGATCCACCTGGATTTGTTCCCTACCCTCTGGTGTTTTAACTGTACCCCATAATTTGGTATCACCTAAGAATTTGGTCAGAGTGCTTTCTATGCCCTCATCCAAGTCACTGATGAAGACATTGAACAACACCAGTCCAAGGAGCAAGCCCTGCGGGACTCCACTGCCCACATCTTTCCAGGTCAATAATGACCCATCCTCCACCACTCTCTGGGTACGACCCCTAAGCCAATTTGCCACCCACCTGACCATGTAATCGTCTATGTCACAGTCACTCAGTTCTCTATAAGAATATAATGAGATACTGTATCAAAGGCCTTCTTAAAATCCAAGTAGATGACATGCACCTCAATTCCTGCATCTAAGCATTTTGTGACCTGGTCATAAAAAGAAACAAGGTTAGTCAAGCAGGATCTACCTGCTATGAATCCGTGTTGATTGCCCTTTAGCATTGCTTTCCCTGCTGGACTCCCACAAATGTGATCCTTAATAATTTTTTCAAAGGTTTTCCCAAGGATAGAGGTGAGACTAATGAGTCTTTAGTTACCCAGATCCCCCTTCCTCCCCTTCTTGAAAATAGGGACAACATCGGCCCTTTCCAGTCCTCTGGGTCCTGACCTGAGCACCATAAGTGCTTGAACAACCATGCCAGTGGCTCTGCTATGACACTGGCCAATTCCTTCAGCACCCTTGGATGAAGATCATGCACCCTTGGACATGGGCGACTGCTGCTGCCACCTGAGTTAGCAACCGGGGGGAGGGCCCACAACCAATCATGCTGACCGAGAAGCACGTGCAGCACTCCTGGAGGTACCAGCAGTGTTTCTAGAAGTGCAAGCGGCACTTCACCTGGTGCCCCCACTTTCTGGCCAGGACTTACAGGGGGGGCACTGGCATTCC